TCATCCGGCCTAATCGACAGCGTCGGGCCTGATTGGTCGTCAATCAACCAATTCTATCGACTTGATTGATTTGCCGGCACTGGCCCCCTTCCCACGATCAATTGACCATTTCTATCTACTTGATTGGTAGACCGCCAGTGGTTTGAATATCTCAATCGATACTAGTTTGATTGTGTTAATTGACCATTTTCATTAACTCAATTGATCAGCCACCACTGACCTGATTGGTTAATCGACCATTTTCGTCGACTCGACCGGTAAGCCACCACCAGCCCAATCACCTCGATCGAAAATTTTCGTCGACTCGACCAATCAGTCGCGATCAACCTAATCATCTTGATTGACCATTCGACCAATCAACCATCATCAACTTGATCTTCTAGATTGACCATTTTCGTTGACTCGATAAATCAGCAGCCATCGTCCCGATCATCTCGATGAAACATTTTTGTCGAAACGATTGATCAAATGCCACCGGTCCGATCAATAGATCGACCGCTTCCATCGATTTGATCGATCAGCTGTCTCTGACCCGATCATATCAACCAACAAATCTCCCTTGAATGTCACATTATTGCATGTTTTCACATTGCCTACATTAGCACATTTACATTAGCATCTTGATGTGTACATGTAAGCATACACTTTCATATGCTTATAGTGGGTATTTAAGCCCCACTCGAGCACAAAACTTCGTGCATCTGCTTCTTGACATCCTCAAATATCACTTTGCACCACATCCTATGTGTTTACATTTGCACTTTTTACACTCCTGAATGTTGTTTTGTATAACATCTTGTATGTTCATGACTTGCATGCTTGAAGTCTGACCTGAATCTATGTTTTCTCTTGCCCACTGATATACCTAAAATATATAATGTTTTTAGACACATATTTATACCTATTTTTAAGATATTGCGCTTTAATAGAATGTATTTTTTTGTTTTTTTTGCAGATGCAAGTAAAAATGAAAAAAATGCTTAAAGGAGTGAAAAATGATCAAATTTGGAGCAAAAAGGTGAAAAAATGTGCAAAAGAGTTTTGGCGCCTAAACCCCGGTTAAACAGAGAAGGTCGCGCCTAAGCGCCAAGACCCCGTGCTCAAGTGCTAGTGGCAGTTCCTAGACGAGTAAAATCGGTTTTCACAAATTTCAAAGAGGTTTTTGATGCACCCATTGGCTTAATAGGTGGTTGTAACCGCCATGGACGAAAATTATCATGAAAGGATGCATCTTTTGGGAAAATACATCGAATTAAGACACATTTTGAAGAGATCCCAAAACACCTCTTGGAAAACTATAAAAGAAAGAAGAGAGGACTTGGAAAAGGGTCATGAAAATATTGGCAAGTTTTGAAAGTTCTTCTCTGGAGAGTTAATTCAGAGAGATTTTAAGGAACTATTTTTTATTTGCTTTATTCTTTTTGTTATTTTGTTTCGAGTGATTGTAAAAGAGAAGAAATTCAAAGGAACTTCAAGAGTTTGGTGGAGGACTTGAGATAAGTTTTTATCTTTTTGTTTTAGACTACTTTTGGTTTTAATCAAGACTTGTTGTTGGTTTGACAATGATTTCTTTTTTTAAACTAAAGTGTGGTTTTATTTTCTCCATGGATTCTGAGTAGTTTTTTTGGCCAATCTAGATGTTAAAATTTGTTGTGAGAACATGTAAGAACCAGACTGGTATTGTTTCAGTCAACAATTGAAAAGAATCACATGAGGTTGTATGAATGAGAATGTAGTTCATATGATTGAGTGCAAATAAATAGAGAAATATTTATTGTTGGGTGTAGAGTTAGAGGACTTTAAATGACAGGTTAAAGTCCCCAACTTGGTTCATTATTTTAGGTTATGATACGAGAATGTTAGCCCCCAGGTGGAGGAAATCGAGGGAACTATAGAGTGAGAGCTAGTATCTTCCCTGCCTAGCCGGTCTTCATAATTATTGAAACTTTAAATTAGCCAATGTTCTTTATAGCATCTCTAGTAAGGATAAAAAATATTATTGCTCCTATTTAACACAACACAATTTGCATACTTTCACAATAGAATTCCTATACTTATTACTGATTCATGATAAGAAGAAAAATATTTTTATATTATGTACTTTTCTTCTACAAAAACTTTAGTTATCTTTTTAAGTTGTTACTGTTTCGTTAAAATATCAAAAATACCAAAAATATTTAAATTTTAAATTCCTGCAAAAATCATTTTTAGTTTAAGTAATTATCTTTTTAAAAATAGAAAAATTTTCTAAAAAATGCATATTGCATAATCTCCCTGTGGGTTCGATATTCAGGTCTTAATCAAAAAGTCCTATATTACTTGATAACGATGCGTATACTTGCGTAGTTTCCTAATATAAATATATATAAATTAAAAGGTTAAATTCTTATTTTTTTTCAAGATCAAGTTTTTTGTTTTGTTGCAAAATAAGGAAATATAAATAAAAAATACCATAAAAATTATTGTTATACTGTGCATAAGCATTAGGTACGCGATCACCCACCCCAAACACTATTGTGCTCTCTTCAGGGATGGTGTATATATCAAGCCTACTTCGTGTGTAATTCTTCCTAATGAGAATTACACTACTTAACTTCTTACGACACCACTCAGGAACATCGTAGGTATTTCACATCGTGTCCTTGACATAGGTCACATTTCCAAGCCTCTGACCCACCTAGTGTACAATGTATCTCCATTCGGGTACATTTTTCGCACCTCGCCCAGGTCACGCTCCTTAGCCTTTGAACCTATTTGGTGTACGAGTCCTACTACCCATAACCCACGGTAACGTCCAACATTTCCATGAGCACATCTTTTTGCATGGCGCGTGTGTTTTCATAGATGCATTACATATTGTGCGTGTCTGTCATTTGTTTGTGTGTTTGGTCACTATTGAAGCTAACCCCCCTATGGTGTCCTATACCATAGGTAGCTAAGTACAACATCACTTGTACAATTTGTCTTGCATTTTCATCTTTGCATTGTTGGCATATTTGTCATTACTATATGTCGTCATATACTTGTGACAAATATTTGTTATCTGGAGATCACTCCTATCTCCATGAAGTGATCACAATACACTGGATCACTTTGCATCTGTATGTGCAATCCCTGATTGTCTCGGCAACAAATCTTGCACATTAGTTGGGTGACACGTTGTTGATCATGATGCGTTAACAAGCATTGCTCGCGAGGATGTCTCGGCGGATAATGTCAACTAACACATCGTGATTATCATGCATATGTTGTGCTAAGGTTTCAAGGAATCTAATAGGCGTCACTTAGGTTTTTTCTTCTCTTAAGACCTATTTTAAAAATAAAATATATTATATTTTTATATACCTTATGCATCATATTTTAAAGATCTATTTTGAAACTTTTTCCTCCTTAGCTTGGACCAAACACATGGTCAATATTTTAAAACTTTTGTTCATACAAAACTTGTATTTGGTGGTATCTCTTAGAATCCTTGGATCCTTAAGATGGAGCTGAGGTCAACCTCATCAAAACATACGCCATTCTTTTACTCGCACTTCCTTGCACACACACTTAGATGTTGTGGTTAGGACACATTGTTTCTAGATGCTTGTGAGTTTGACAAGCTCACTATGAGCTCTTATATCAGTTTTGAGAACATGAATTATGATGGTTTTGAATTGATACATTCTAATATTTAAGGACCTTGTTCTACGAATTCTATGAATGTTTATTAATACTTTGTAACCTTTACTAATTGCTTTTCTCGTGTTACTTGGTTATATTTTGATGAAAAATATAAGTGATGTGATTGCTTGCTTTAAGGACTTCCACAAGATGATTCAGACTCAATATTGTGCGGTACTCAAGGTATTGAGGTCTAATAATGGACCAAAGTATACCAACAAAGCATTTGGGAAATATTTATCAGTCCAAAGGAAACAACATCAAACCATGTACATACACACCGACACAAAATGAAGTAGCAGAAATGAAGAATAGACACTCTCTAGAGGTCTTACATTGGAAACACCAATATTTTGCTAAAATAATGAAATAGTAACTTTTGATAGTAGATATTATTTATGTTCTCACCTTTTTTTACAATTTATTGTGGTATGGACCTTTCACTCTCAACTATCATTTATTAAATTGATATCAAAGCCTGAGTTAATGTCAACATGTGACCTAGAAATGAGTCCCCCTAATAAAAGTGAGAAAATTTTGATTAGCCCAGCATAGAAATAGCATGCTATGTAATCCCAAGTTATTTGGAGAGGCATCCTCAATTAAGATGAGATTCAAGCTCCCTAGAAAGGTGTATTAGAAAAAGTGAGATCCCCATCCACCATTGTGGCTCCTAACATGAGGTTTTGTCAACAAGGAGTGTTAAACTTTATTAACGACTCCAATGAGAATTTTGCATACATCATAACTTGTCGTCTTTACAAAAATTATCACGTGACCTTCTTTCAGCAGACATCCACCCAAACATCTAAATTCATAATAAAAGCCAATCATACTTTTTTTGCCTTTCCAATTTTCAATGATTTAATCATAAAATGCACAAATACATGAGTTCATAGCTTTTTTGTTTTTTTTTTAAATAAAATTGAAGTACAATATATAATACAAACTCATGAACAAGTTCATATTTTTTTCTAATTTGTCTTTCAAATGCCCCAAAAATGTCCAAGCAATTTATGGGGGAATTTGGAAAGAAAATTATCATATGTATTATATGTATTGTCATCATTGCATTATCAGCATATCTTCCAGCACCACATTCTAATAAAGACCGAATTCAATGAAAAATACAGTGACTTTAATTCCATAATATACCACATTTCTCTACTTCAATCCCTCTATCATATAAATTTGATCCCATATGATCTCTAAGGTACAAATTGATAGAAATATGGCTGCACGCCACACATACACACACAAATATATATATATATATATATATATAATGGGAATGGGCACTAGCTATAACAAGTGAAGATGCATCAAGCAGAATCCAATAATCTAAACAGTGAAAAACTTAATAAAATTTTCACCATCTTGTATTGTAACATTTGTAACATGTTACAAATAACCATTTCAGAAACTAAGGGAAGAAAGAACCCTCATCTTTGCAGCCACCAAATTCACTAGCACTAAAATTACACTCCTACAATCTTAACACAACCTTCTCTTATCAAAGAGCAAGAATAATCACTACAAAAGCAAACGCTCTGGCCCGCGCTAGTACAGAATCAACTTAGAAAATTAGAAAAACTATGGGTGTTGCTAAGGACTTCCCAAGCACAATAGCTACCAAAAGCCTAGCCATTATCGTTATATTAAGTGAAAATTAAGCCAATTTTCTTAGCGAAGTCATCTTCATCTTCTTCAGGATCTAGATCTGCATCTAGACCGCCGACGTAGTCATCTTCCCTCTTGGAATCTCCACCTTCCACTGTAGCACAATAATATTCACCATCTTTCTGATCGGAATAATCCGGCTCTTCTCCGTCTTCCATGGCATCTCGAGCTACTGTTTCATCTCCAGCATCTTTCTGTTCATAATTTATTTGTTCATCCTCAGCAGTTACTCTATCATTGCAGCCACCAGATATTGCATGATTCTCAGACAAAGACTCTCTTTTCCTTTTAAGAAGAATGCTCAGTGGCTTAGGGCCTTCAAATTCAACAGAAGCTTCAGAATCTCGAAGCCTTGAGTGGCCTTGAGAGTTTCTATCTGCCTTGGCGCCTTTCAGCTCTTCAAGTCTTCTTGGACCAATGAAGTCTAGAAGATCCACAGCATCTCTTGATTTCTGTTGCCTACCAAAGTATCTTGGATTGGCAAAAGATTCCGCAGTTGGTCTCCAACCCAATCTCTGTCCAAGACTTCTATATTTACCTGATGGTCTAACAGGCAAATCGGAACGAATTTCTGGGCAGGGTTGCTTGGGGAGTGTAATTCTACCTCTCAGGCGAGTGTTAATGGCGCTACCATGAAGAGGGTTATCCTTCTTCTTGTAGGAGTTATGTGCATGGTATCCATCTCTCATGTTCCTATCATGTTTCCCGTAGGGTTCGTTGTAATGAACAGAACTCGTGGCAGAAAAATAGCCATTTTGCCTTCTTTGCTTCCTGAGCCGATGACGGAGATCTGATGCATCCATTTCATCAGGACTCCTGAGCCTCCGCGACGAACCTCTTTCAGTGTATAATGGTCTATCAGACAACCTCTCAAAAGCAGAAGAAATCATTTGTTGATCCCAATCGTCACCATTCTGCTCAATGCCATAATGGAAGTCACCAGCTCTATCATGTCTAAACCTATCCAATCTAGTAGAAGACTCATAATCAGAGAGATAATGGTCATAATCTTCTTCACGGTTGACATTTCTTTTTCCTTCAGTAACTACACCTCTGAAACAATCTTGCTCGTAAAAGTAATCAGTATCCCTCACAACATGATCAACAAGAACATCAAATCCAGGAGAAGAATCTCTGAAAACCTCCTCGGCAGCCTGGGCGTCATGGTGATGCCGAAGTGGAGACTGAAGTTGATGATTTAAAGGGCTTTCCAGTTCAGCGTAGCCAACTTCAGAAGATTCCATAAACATTTCACCAGCCTCCGTTCTCTGCCTATCAGGCTGAACATGAAGATTCTGAGATGAAGAATAACTGCTGCTACTTCTAACAGGATCATAAGTTGTCTGAGATCTAGCAAGCCCATTTCTGGATCCTGGGGTGCTCTCCACAGCCCGACCGCCTTCTCGTAATGAAGGAGATCCATTAGCTAGCTTTTCAGCACCAATGTTCAATGCAGCAGGCAAGTTCTGCTGATTCTTTCGTTCTGTGATTTTTGCAGCATCTTTTTCAGATGTTTCTAATTGCATAGCGATTTGTGCAGAAATCTTCACATTCTGCTTTGCTACGGGATTAGCAGCAGATGGTGGTCCGTGCATGAAAGGACACTTGTCACCTTTCAAACAGGCACCCTTTAGATAGTAGTAACAGGGAACATTGTTTCTGCCAAAATTATAAGTAAAAAACTTTGCCATTGGTAACGGCATGGATGGAGGCACATGTGAAAAAGCAGCAGTTTTCGCTGAAGTAGTCCTGGGACTTACAATCATCCCATCAAGTGGCTGCAAAAAGAGCAATAATGAATGTGACATGCGAAGGAAATCTAACTTTCTATGACGACTATAGAAACTAGCTATTGCATTTTTTTGTGTTAATGTGTCCCAATCATAGAAAAATTTGACTTCGATGAATATGACACATTTTGCAATGCAAAGAAAAAAAGAGATACAACTACCAACTTTTTATTTAGATTTTCGAATATTATGAGTATAAGTGTTGAAATAGTCTCTTGACTATACACATGGGGTCATTTTAATTCCAGAGCCTATAAAAATGTCAAAATAGTTTACAAACTCTTTTAATATAGGCTGAAATAATCCTCAAAGATATTATTTTAGCTCACATAAAAAGAGTATAGGAAATAAATTGACACTTTTACAAGGCTCTGTGACTAAAATGACCACGGTGAAAGAGGCATGGGACCATTTTGATACTTTCTCTACATATTATAGTAGCATTAATGAAAATTTGAAACCAAACTAACCGGATGACGGAAAAAGCATTTTGGATTCAAGCATTTGCCACTTAACCAGAATTTGCAGTCCCTGGGGTTAATCCTAGCATCCTCACTGTGGCGATATTCACATTCACTTCCCTATATGAAGACTAATGGTAAGAACCTTGATGAAATTTAACAGGTAAAGAAATGCAGAAGTGAAAAGGTATCAGCTAAATTACAAAGCCTCCATGGCAATCTCAGAAATAAATAAAAAAAAGAATGATTTAAACGCATGTTAGTCGAACTCGCAAAATCAAAGCTCAACAATAGCCAGGTCAATATCTTCAAGATTGCACTAAGAAGACAGGTTATTGAAAGATGAGAAATACAAATTGTCATATGGTAAAAAGCCAACCTAAGTCAGCGGCTTAATTACAGCTCAGCTTTTGTCATATTATCTATAACCCTGATTCAATAAATAGGGTTACATATTGTAAATGTTTTAATGATTGATAATTGAATAAATGAAATTATTTATAACAAATTGACCTGTCTTTAGAACTATACATGTTAATCTCTCCAAATTGTGTATGCCAGGTTTGAAAAAGCGAAATCGGAAACTAAAATAATTCATAAAACATAAACTATCAGTATATATTTTTAAGTTTTTCATAAAGACAAACCTTAAATCTCAATATTAAATGCTGATATAAAATGAAATTTAAAATTACCAATCATTTAACATATAAATAAATTATAAGGACCAAGATTCACAATAGTTTCATCCTAACTGCCATCATCTTCAAAAAAATCATCTAATACATGAATTTAATCGTCATCTGACTCTGGTCATTAGAATCTAAATCTTCTTTAATCACTACATTTTTTTATTATTCTTTATAATAATTAACATTAGATATCATATAATTTAAAATAGATTAATTAATTAATTACACAATTAAGTCATAATTAAAGTACCTTTTGACATTTTGAGTCAAACAATTCTTATGATATCTAACACCAAAATTTTGATACTTACTTGAGATAACATTTTGATTTTATTATCATATAAAAACACATGCCTGAACTGTGTGTTTTACCGTACAAAAATTAGAATTAGTAGTACTTTTGATGTGATGCTAGGGATTAGTTACAATAGAAAATATTTTAGTTTAGTTGGATAAAAAAATACATAAGAATTGTGGTTATCTGGGTAAATTCCTCTAATAAAATATAATATATATTTTTTATATAATCTAACTAAGGAACTACCTCAAACACTTCAAGTTATAAAATACCAAGGCGTAAGCATTCGATAAAAGAGACGTAAGCCTGATTGCTCATAGCGATTGGTGAGGCTTAAGCCTCATGGTAGTTTTTGAGCACATCAATTAGAGGTGCCCTTCAAGACATGAGCTCGGAACTCCCTTTTAAACAATGGTGTAGTGTAGTTACTTTTCTCCTTCATTAATTTGGCATCTAATACATAATCTTAACCAGTCCCCAAAAAAACTAAGCTTAACAAACATAAATCTATCCTGCATCCCACATTCCAAAATCTCATATCTCGGATTCACTCACAAATCAAGCTCTAGCATATTGCATGCAGTCTACCTCCAATCTTGCATGCACTGCATAAGAGCGGTATAAGTAGTGCATGCCATCAACTGGTTTGAACATATCAGACCTCACTGGTCATGAGCATCACCATTCAAAATCATCATGGGCGTCCAACCCATACGTAGCCATTATCGTGGCCCTCATAGTTATGAGCACATCCTCCCCATCAAGGCCCTCATAGTTATGAGCGCATCCTCCCCATCATGACCCACTATCATGTCCGCAACTCACTCTTGTAACCCTTGCATATCCTCTCAATGCATTCATTTCCAATCCTACACCCACAATCTACCGCACACCATCACGCTATATTTCTCCTCCTTTTATCTTCAAACCCTGAAGCATTTCAACATGCCCCTACTATATGGAAAAAAAAACTCACAACAACACGTCGCCCTCTTCGGTATCCCATCTAGTCAAGCATCAACTTAAAAAAAATTTTGATTTTGACCTCTTTGATAACATCATGTACTAGATTGTGATAGGGGTGTCAAAAATTGACCAGAGACGCCAGCCCGACCCAAACTCGATTCTCGTTGATATGATTAATTTTCGAGTCGACTTCAGGTCAGAATTCTAACCAAATTAAATCTTTTGTTCAAGTTCAGATTGACCCATCAAACCAAATGTGACACAAAGCTGACTCACTAATGGATCACAGGAGTTGTGTTTGGATCAATCATGTTGAGAGCGGCTTGGGTTTAGGTCACAAACTTTTTACACGATTAATTTTAGGTTGGAGTTTGGATCACATAATCTTAGGCTGTGTCAATTTCAGGTAAAACCTGAAACCCACACATAAATCTGATTTAACACCACTAGATTTTGATTTCAATGGACTCATCATTGACCATTCATCATCAACCACAACTTTAAGTAGATATTCTACCTGCATGGAGATTGTAGTTTTCTGGTGTTTAACCATATTATAAGATATTGATTCAAGGCACCTTCAACTCATTGCATAGAGTTCAAACACAATCATCGAGTCTAGTTCTTATGTATATAGAAGATCACATGACATGCTTTTCTTCTCTTTATTATGTATTTTCATTTTTTACTCGTGTTTCATACGACATTGAAATAAATATAAAGTTAATATGTTTCTACTACTGTCTCAAGTTATTTTGGCCTTATGTATATGAAGGCGAAAAAATACAAGTTGAATAATAACAATTTGAACCTCTTTTAGCATTTTTTTTATTATCATTTCACTACCACTTAGCTGTGACCACACTAGTTGATCTCCCATTCATTTTTTTACCACGATATTTCACATCCACCCCACTTTCTCTCCCACATGCCTCCCACCTTTATTCTTTACTCCTGACAAACTTCTTGAATTACCCTCTTAGATTAATCCTTTGATCATTAAAATTTATATAAATCCTCGAAACCCTAAAAGCGTTTCTTCAAACTCCACAAACATTCCATTTATCTCCCCTTTTGACACATAACCAATGCCTCCAATGAATCTTGGGTTTCTTTGGTCACCACTATGTATAGGACCCATTGTATCTTGTATGGTTATATCTTTTGAATGAATAAAGCCTAGCTATCATCTTCTAACTTTGAACGTGGCGTTGTATGCTTTTCACCCAATAGAACTTTTGTTGTGAGAATATAAAAGTCCTAAGATAAGGACTTTCAAGGAAAAAAAGGAATCCAATACAATAAAGATCCATTAAAATTTTTATGTGAAGTCATTGATACAAACCAAACCGATTTATTCCATAGAAATTAGCATAAACAAACATCTCATTTCACCAATCTCAAATCGAAATGAAACATCATCACACAACTCACATGAATACATAAAAAATAAGCACCTATAATTCGAGAGGTAAGCGATCTCTCCCAAGTCCTACAATTCGAGAGGTGGGATATCTCCCCCATATCCTAACCCTAAGACTCAAGACAATAATCCCATGCATACCTTAACCCTAAACATATTAGCTTTATTTATACCCACATAATAATAAATACTAAAAGAATAAGTTGCCCTAAGGCTGAAAAAGTACTAAATTACCCTTAAACGCTTACATAACACTACTCCCCTCCCAAAAAGACATATTGTCCTCAAGATGGAAAAAAAAAACTGTCGTTGAATCATGTCGTATGGATTCCACGCCGTGTCATTATCTAGCAGTCCTTTCCATTTAATTAGAAATCCTTAGTGACCCTCACGAATTCAAAACGCAACCATGTGAAAATCCTTTGGCTGCATCTGAATCTGTTGGAACCTTGAATTCAAGTCGATCATTAAGAATATCGTCACTCTAAACAACTCATCCAATAGCTCATCGACCACCAAAATCTATGTCAACTCCGTATCACGAGTCTCTTCCATGTTATGCAACTTAATCAAGAATCCCAACCCTGTGAATTGAATTGCCATCGCCAATGTCTTGAGCATAACCAAAGTCTTGCACAAACTAGATTCACCGTGAAGCACCACCAACTTGTCTCCCACTTGAATACTCTGTAGTGTCAAAATCAGTCCTTTACAAACTCCTATGCTCTTCTACACATGTCTCGTTTCTATCACTACTCATGAATCACCTTCCTTCTGGAAAGTTATCGTAGTAAAAGACATGGATGCGATTGGAAGCAGCCCTCCTCCAGTCCTCTGGGATCCCGCCCAATGTGGTTCCCTATTTAGGTTATCTTCCCCAACCCTGAATTGCACTTCGTCTTGTTCTGTCACTTGTCACTTGCCCCAAACATTAAGATGTCGTGCAATTCACTCTAGATGTTGCCTATCAAATCCGCTCCTAACTCCTTCACTCGATCATGCCTATTTTCGTTTATTCTAGCTATTTGAATGTTGCTCTATTCTTCCAAGTGTTGTTGCCCCAGTTCACTTTTGATTCCTTCACTTGATATTGTAGTTCCCAATTTACCTAAAGTAGCAATGCTGCCCTAATGTCGCGTGAATCCTTCTAATAGTTGTTGCTTGCATCCGTTCTCAACCGCGTCGCTCAATCCCACAAAAGTAGGAAAGGGGGAAGAGGGTGGGGTTGGGTGGGGAGGGGGTGATTTTGTGTAAAATTCCATGATCTTCTTTGTCATTTCTTCTAGAACCGTGATTCATCGCTCAAACTGCCCTTCCATGGACGAAAAATGTTCCTTTATGGACGAGAAACACTCATCTATTTCAGATCTGATGTGGCTTAAAAAATTTCTCTAATTTCTTCTCAAAAGCATCGATTTTCTTGGCTGTCATTATTCCCGGGATGATTTTTATCATAGAGGTGCAGTGGATTAGTGTGATTGCTTTTGAATACAAAATCGCAGTTGTATCAGTAGGTTTGGTCGTTGCTTGCGACTATATTAGTGCATATGTACCATGAGCTCTACCTCAAACTAATCGTGTCTATACTGCGATAGTCCTTAAACCACATCTGTTTCGTGACTAGGGCACTCACTACGACCCAACGTTGGCTTCCAATGCTCACCACGATCCTAACGTGTCTCATGAAGGTATCACAATTTTTTGCAATTAGGACACGCCACAATCTATAGTGGATAACCAG